CTTCACGGTGACCATAAGGTAGGAATATTTCCTAGGGAGTGAATATAGAGCACACAAAATTGTGCGAGAATGAATCTGATGACCGGGGTAATATTATCTGTAAAACGCTAACTTCGCTAAGCGAGTGTATTTCGTATTAAGCGCTATTTAAATCCAGATTATTATTATTAGTATAATTTAGAAGAGGTCATTTGACATGACAGCGGACCAAGTTTCGCTGCACACTCATGAAAAGCTCTGCCCAGTTATACTGTTTTCGTATGTTACAACATTCGGACGAAAGGCCCCTTATTATTTACTGGATTTCTCATACTTTGCGTAGTTTTAAATGACTTACTACCTTCCAGAAAATGAAATCCACCCCTGTCTCCTCGTTTCATTGTGACTTGCTCCCAGCCAAACAGCAACCTCTTTCATGACTTAGACCTAGAAATTATCACCACATACCTGTACACCCCCCTCCCCCCAAGTAACAACTCAACAATTTAAAAATACTCAAGAGTCCCCACTCTATAGAATTGTATTGAATTCTACATACCGTTTTTGGTTATTTTTAGCCATACAATAAATGATAAATGTTGGTAGGCCTATTCTAAATGGAAGAAGGCCAGGGGGGGGGGGGTAGTACAGGTACATGTACATGGACAACTTTACAAAGACGAGTGAGAAGCCCCATTGTGTCTATTGTGAACAAACTATTAGTCTAACTGTTCTTGAGCTCATGAATTCATGAAAGGGATTAGAAAAGATTATCCATCTTAAAGTCTGTAAAGGGATTAGAGTAGATTATCTCCTTGAATTGGATCAAGGGATTATTAAAGCTACATGTACATTACAGTGTATCCCCAGACCTGACCTCAAGTTGATCCAAGGTCAAGTTCAGATGATTCTATGGCTTTCAAGTTTCAAGGCTTTGCTGTTTGTATTTGTATGATAATTGGTCAAGTCTTGTATTTATACAGAGGATTTTCCATATAAAATGCACTGAAAATGTACATGTACAATGTACTGTACATTGCTATTTAATAATATACCCAGTAAAAAAAAAAAAAATAGTGTCTGCATCTTTACTATCTTGACATTTCTGTACACGACATGTACTGTACACACCTAGCCAAAGAAGTAGTTTGGAATACTACATGTACCTGTAGCGTCATATAAATAATGTACATTTAGATATCCAATTATCCATCTTTTGGAAAACTCTTTAATTGGTAACTCTTTCATTTCATGCTTCATTAGAAACAAGGAATTCAGACCTGTGTACATTGTAGATCTCTTTTAGAGGATTAATGCCCTTCTATTCCATTCATCCATACAACATACAATGCAGTGGTTTGCAGGCACAAACCCTTGTCAGTTGTAATGTGTAATAGAGGGTCTGTACAGTAGCTGCTCCAGAGATGGATAGAATTAGACTCGATCCGCTCTAGATTTTATGGTCAAATGAGAGTCTCTGTCTGAAGACTAGCAAGTGTGCACAAGATCTCTGAAAATAAATGGAAATTTGACCAAATGACTACAGTATTAGCCTTAATGGTCAATAGACCAAATGTTAAGTAGACAAAACAGTTATTAGACCATGTGGATAGGAGACGTACTGGGTGTAGACCATATGAGAATAGAGTAGACCAAATTTTATTTAATAGTAGATGAGTTGGTTGTAGACCAAACAACAATAAGGATTTGCGTGGACTGATACGTGTGACGTCCATTCAAGGCAGTGCATTAAAAGGACGTCGATCGTACATTTGTAGCAATACACGTTGTCGTTGTACAAATCTAAAAGTCCCTATTAAACTGCCATCTCATACCAGTCCTTGAGTTCAGGCAGTCAGATGATGATTAAGAGATCTAAAGGAGATGCCTTGGTCCTTTGTCATTAGGAGGAGAGTGGATCTTCATTAAGAATGATTGATGAGGTCTGAAACATGAGATGGAGACAGGTTCCCAGGAAAGCTCGTTGGATGCCTCTGCATGGTGATACGATTCTCCGGCTTAGATCCAAAAGAGCGTTAATTCTGCCCTGTTTCATAAAACCAGTACTCATGCGCGGTGTATACTGTATAGATACAGGTACTCAGGGAAAACATTAATATTTCTTTTCGGGGGCTACTTTTCAAGCTTGCCTGCATGAAAATAAAATTCTAAAATTTGTTTTGCATTGAACCCTATGCAAATTTACAGGGCCCTTTGATTTTCGGGGGCTCTTTTGGGCATTTCGGGTTTATTTCGCCCTTAACCCCCGTGAATTTTTTTCACTGGGATGCCTTTAATTCTTTTCACTGGGATGCCTTTAATTCTTTGTCATTAGGATTAGAGATCTTCCTCAAAAGAGATTGATGAGGTCTGAATGAGGTGAGGACAGTTTTCCAGTGGAGTTGGATGCCTGCATCGATCTCCCATTTCTGCATGGACTGAGATATTCTGTTTTACAGCCAGGAGAGCTGCAAGGCTCTGACACAGTCTATAATAACTTTTTGTGAGAGGGTCTGGCTTATAGAGACATAAGGCCTGTTTGAATGACCCATACAGCTGTACATATACTTGATACATTGGATGAAGTGTACATGTACATGTACTGTACACTTGATGATTATTATTATCTGTGATGAAAAGATTATTAGAATAGAACACATGTATGCATAGTAGACAACAACAGAATTAGACCAAATGATAAGCAGGCAAAATGATATATTAGACCATGTGGATAGAAGCCAGTGGGCTGGAAAGAAAATATATCGGAATTAGACTCACTGGAAATGAGACTACATGAACAATAGACCAAATTTTCAGTCTAATTAAATTATAATGGTTTTGTTTATTTCTTTCTCGTTTTTTGTTTGCTTTTGTTTTTTCCCGGAAAGGAGACATCCCACCGACAGACATCACATAGTCTTTGACCGGTATTGGAGGGGCCTACATGTAGGCTGCGCATGAAGCCGAGAAGCCTGTTCAACGTACCGAACCGGGCTGGCCAGAAAATACGCTCAAAACGGTTAAATGATTTTATGTTGACAGCCTGTCTGGAATCTCCGCAAAATGCGAACAATTGAACAGTGTCGATTTTTTTTTTCCCTTCCTTTTTTTTTGTTTCCATTTAAAATTATTAAAAAACTTGAATTCGGCGTAAATATTCACAATTGAATGACACACGCCCTTAAAACTAAAACAACAACAACAACAACAACAAATGGTAGTAGACTAATTGGAGATTAGACCAAATGACTATAATCCTAAATGGTCATGAGACTTAATGATAAGCAGACAAAATGAATTATTAGACCAATGGAAAGTAGATGAGCTGGGTGTAGACCATATGGGAATAGATGTATTGGGTAGTTGATGAACAGTTTGTAGACCAAATGGCAATAAAAACCATTTGAATGAGCCCATCTTGCTAAAAGATTTTGTCTTGATAAAGTGTACATGTACCGTCCTCTGTACGTTGATCTACAGACTCGGTTCTAAAGCTGATAGACATGAACTGCCACTTTTTGATGGATGATTCACAGGGCATGTAGAGTTTAGTAGCTCCAGTCATTGTTCTGAGGATGAGGATGAATTTTCATTAAAGAGAGATTGATGAGGTCTGAGTGAGATGGAGACAGTTTCTCGGTACAAGGACGGATGATGTCATCATTGTACATATTTTCTGTGACAATGATCCCATCAAGTTCATTTAAATCTTAAGAAATCTTACAATGTACATTGTTTTTTTTTGCACCAACTATTTTCATTTTCACATTCATACATGTACATGTACATTGTACATCTAGTTTGAAGAAAATAAAAATATATATTCAGAATTACCAAGTGTCATGCATTTCAAGGGTCTGAAAACGCTTTCACGCACGATGCACTCACGATTTTGAAAAAACGCTATACGTACGCTATATCCTCGCGCACAGAGTTGTGAAAATGTCACGCATAGCTGATCTTTGAACTTGCGTCTCTGATATATTACCTACATGTACAGTACATGTATTGAAAACCAATATGAAGGGAAATTGCAAAAGTGGTTAATATTACACTATAGTATACAGATATTTTACGCAGCATATAGCCCATTCAGAGACTTTTAATGTTTAGTTACAATAACATTTAAATTGCTCATGACGACCAAACATACTGCATTCTCAATGAACCCAACATTTTCTGTGATTTTTTTCTGATTCTGCTCATGAATGAATAATGTGCAGTTCCTAGCATTCTGATTCTAAATACAATACAAAAAAGTAACCACATGTATTAGAAAGGACACACTGAACTACTATGGGTTAACCCTACTAGATCAGATCAAGTTTCTTGATTATTTGTACATGTATAAATTGATTGAGACTGATTACAGAGGATGGAGACAAATTCCACTTTAGTGACTCAGTCATTATCAAATTGACCTCAAGACCTCAAAATGTCTCGCTGTATTGTAGTTTTAATAGAATGGTTTGAGCCTTGAGGGGAGGTTCATGAACTTGAGTTTGGATAAAGAACATTTTGAGTTGAAATGGTGGTATTTCTACCACCAGTGACTAAGTTTCATATTGTGCAAAAGTTATTTTGTTATTTTCACTTTGCAGTGGTGATAATGTCCTCACACAAATCATGAGGCTACATGTAAAAGGCACACAAAATACTGTATATTGTGGGAAGTTCTAAATTAGTATTATCTTTCAAATGCAGTTGTAATTTAACTTTTTCATTTTTTTGGCCTGCAAATGGGACACAGTACCTTTAAATTGAATATACATGTACATGTATGGCATATACATTGTACATGTATGCTTTGCATGATTTTATGTTTAGGATAAACTGTATGATGTTTATTTCTCTTTTGTTATAGATTTACAGATTTACAAAGTACATGTATTATTATTGAAGTGATGACAAAATATGATGCTGTCAGCCCTGGGAAGTATGTATAATACCTTGTCTTTGATTTTATGATTTAAAAAAACCCTGGATATTCATGAATATTTATTTCTCCATTTTTGTTTCAGTTTCCGAAGAGCTCTGGGCCCGAACTGTCAGGACACTTCAGGATACACCCCCCTTCACCATGCTGTACTTAATGGCCACAGGTAAATCACTAGCAGCAGATTAATTACTAAATCCTTGCTATCATTTTAAAGTTAAATTTATGGACTATGCTCTGTGCAAGGAAATGAGAGTGAGTGTTTTCCTGCTCCAAAAGCTTGTTTGCATTTACTGGTATGTAAATCATGATGCATTTAACTTTTTGAATTGGATACATCAATTTGAGAAGCCTCTTGTACAAACCAGTATTATAAGATTGATGGATTTAATTTTTCATTCCTTTCTTACTTTTTTTTTTTACAGTACATGTACGTTTGTTTATTAGCTGATTTTTGATCATTTATTTGTTTGTGTGTTGTTTATTTTTATTACTTTATTAATTTGTCAAGTTTTTAAATAAAATACAAATATTGAATAGATCGCAGCTTTGTTAAAGGCACTGATCTGATCATTTGAAGGAATATTAAAAACCTCCTTTTAAATGTACCCTTTTCTTTAGACATGTCAGTTTACACTATTGACTTACAACAATGTAAATTGCCACAATTTGGCATGAAGGTTGTGGCAATTTGTATTTGATGTAATTACCATCAATGTGTTTCTTTGTTTTGCTGTGCATCTTTAATAGCACTCCTACAGTGTATTAATGCTGGTTGGCAATCCGGATAAAGAACTTTCCTTGCAGAGCCGGCAATAATCTCCCTGTGTGAAACCAAAATAGCTGCGGTTGTGTGTAAATGTCAGTGCATAGGGGAATTAGGACCTCTTCACACTGGGGAAATGATACAGTATACAGTACATGTACATATTAACCCATATTAAGAAACATCATATACAAAATTAAGGCATGGTGAAAGGGGCATACAAAATTTAAAACGCATACAGGTGTAGTATGATGTAAAGAAACATAATACTGCATGGTACTAGCAGTAAGTGACACCTCTCTGGTTCTAGTTTTAATGTGGTCAGTGGCTTGACACCTGACCACACTGACCAATTAACCGTCACTCACTATAAGCCTTGCCCAGTTAATCATTTTTTGAAGGATATATACAATGTTCACGCTCCAAACAGATCATTATCCTTTGTCAAGTGTTCGTTCAAAACAGCGAAAAAAATACACGGGGGCTTAGCCCCCAAAATGCCCAAAAGAGCCCCTTAAATTTGCATAGAGTTCAATGCAAAACAAATTTTAGAATGTTATTTTCATGCAGGCAAGGTTGAAAAGTAGCCCCCGAAAAATAAATATTAATTTTTCCCTGGTTCAAGAGGATGCTTAAACCTCCGTTTTACCATACATGTACGTTTCATTGTAAGATTTTTTCATTTTACATGTATGACGTTCAGTGCAAATGTCATTCAGACTTGAAATATTGATTAGTTATTGTACATACTGTATATGGCAGTATAAATAATTATAAACAGTTTTCATATTGCTCTCCGTTGAATATAACTAGTGTGAACAGGGGGGTTGGAAACTTACTTGGACTGGTAGGAAGAAGCAGTATTAAGAATAGCGATTGTGGCAGCCTAACATTTGAAAGGCATGGGATTAGGGGGGTAATATTGAGGGTGAAATTGGGGATTTCCTGAGCTTCCTTGCAAATCTGACAAGTCGACTGGAGACTGCTGACAAGGAAACAGCGAGTCTATGCGATGCATTCTCATGTGCATTCTGACTGTGTGGAAAATATCACTGACTTCACTTTAATAGTCACATCATGTGATATTGTGTAGCCAGGCCAGGGCCCCCAAGACAAAATGATTTATTTTCCCTTTGTTTTGAATATGGACTGTTTAAAGAAATTCAGGTTTTATGTGAGCTTTTTGGGTGCATGATATGCAGAATTTTTGTCAGGCCAAAATACAGCTTCTTCTTTTTGCAAGAAATGTTTGTTCTTGAGACAACTTTCATTTGACGGAAAGGTGCAGAAACTTTATCCAGTATTTGGACTCTAAAATTTCCCTGGCAATCATGGCCACCCTGATTCCACTTCCAAATGTCACAATTTTCATAAGAGAGGAGACCCTAAAAGAAAAAATTTCTGTGGGCCATGAATATATTTCACTTTTTCAAATGACGATTAATAATTAAAGTTGCGTTTACTCTGCAAGCAAAACACATCAATTTTTTCTCACATTCTGGTGTTTCGCTTGTATTTGCTTATTTTGCTAACAATTATGTGACGAAAAACTGAAATATAAAAATCGACCTCTGCAGTTTTTTGTTGTTGTTAAATCCTGCTGAATTTTCACCCATTTATAGAGTCACCAAAACTTCAGAATGAGCAGACACCAATGTTTTTTAAATGTGTTTTTCAAGTAGTTATGGTAATCAAAAGAATATACAACTTTTTCAAAACAGTGTTTGGGCTATGTAATGGGCCTATTGTGTAGATGCAGCGTTGCCATAATGACCTTAACCTTGGAGATAATCCCTAGAAGTACTAATGAAGGAATGTGTGATGTGTGACCCCTTGACCCTCACCCTTCACCCTCAGGAGAGTAGAGTATTTGTTGACCAATGCATAGAGAAACTAGGTCACTTGCTAGTGACCCTTTGCATTTTACCCTGTCTACATTTCCGAAGTACATGTGAATGTCAATTTACATCGCAGAAAAATAAAATTTGAAAATCTATCTTAAAAATAACTACCATCGTTTCATTTACACTAAAGAACCCCCCCCCCATTTAAAACTGTCAGTGTTTGCTTATTCTTTTTTTGTGTGAGTTGTGCGGATGCGCAACTTGTCGCTGCTCTGCATGACGAACACGGAAGCGACCAAAACCGTGACCCATAACCGGTAGAGTTACTCGGGCATTACAAAAAAAAAACATTGTAGGTTTTTCCTGATTCATGTTTTTCATTGTGTTTATGGGTACTGTAGTTGCCTCACAACCCCCGCTTTTTTTTGGGGGGGGGGGCTGCCTCCTTTTTTTTTTAAAGAAAAAGAATATGACCAACACTGATTAAAAAAAATGCCATCTGCCATATTGAAAAATAGACTGACTGTCAGGGAAAATGTACCGAACGGCCATTTTGAAAAAAAAAGGTCCTCCTTCCTATTTTTCAAAAAGGCAGGACGCTAAACATGTTTGTTTTTTAATTGGCCTTACTGTAGCTGCCTACTGTAGTGTAGTAGGCATACATTACTATATATTTGTACCTGCATGTATATACTGTACATTAGGTGAACAATTCGCTAAGCAGGTCCATGGTTTAGTGCACTTGTTCTCATTCTTAGAAAAAGGAAGAATTGGTGTACTATAAACAATTTGTAATGTGCAACATTCCAGATTCACGCACAAGCACTCTCAGAGTCTCATGTATCACAACCCCCTCAGTACATTCCTTTGTGCAACTTTCTTTCTGTTTTTCCCTTTTGTTATTGTCAAGGCGCTCGGCATATATGGTACTTTAAAAATTGGATCAATATTTCTAGGAACGTATGTATGATGTCATTGCCTTGTTATTGTCTGTAAAAACATTCAAACCAAAAGGGAAACTATAGTACATGTACACATGTAGGCCTACTATTTTACACCTGTACACAGGTCTGCACTGTACATCTAGTATTTCAAGATTGGAACATAAGTGGTCATGTACAGTAGGCTTTACATATTCAAGTACAATTACAATTGTGATTTTTCAGATTAAAATAGCTATTAATGCTACAATGTCTACTTAAATCTATTTTTCTTTCATCCCTGAACAAGGATGTATTTGTACATGTCGGAATGCACTGTACATTACAGGCTTGTAACTTGCAGAAATGTACATTTCATTGTTTACCACATATTTGCCCTACAGTGGCTTCTTGCCTTGTACTTTGTACAGCAGCTATGTTCACATGGTGAAGTTTAAACCTTGGAGTTTAATATAAACAAAGATGCACTAATGACAAGGAGGGTTCACATGGGATGGAAACAATGAGTAGCCTATTAAAAGTTAACTACAGTGTATAAGCTGGTGTAATCTCAAAGTTGATTGCGTCAACATGATACAACTCTTTGTATGAGGACCCCCCTCCCAAGTCCCAACCCCCAACCCCCAACCCCCAGTTCCAAGTTATCATGCCAACCTTTAGATCGCTCATGGTTTATGACTCTTGAGTACCAGTTTAATTAAAGGTTTGTAATCACTAGTGTGTCTGAGCGGTTCCTAACTACAAGATACAGGTAAATTCATATTTTAATCATTAGTTTCAAACCATAACCTAAACTCAAAGTTAGCAAACTGCCATGTGAACCTAACTATTTTGAGTGTTGTTCTTCCTCTATGTTGAGGGTCAATGGTTCTAGGCTTGGTTACCAGACAGTATGCATGCCCTTTTGTTTACAATACCAGTCAAGTACCATCTCTGATTTTGCATTTTCCTTGTACACTGTATTTAAAGACACACCTTTTAATCTTCATTTATTAAACCCACATCCGGACTCCTCCCATTCAATTGAATTCATGTACATGTATCTCAAAGGTTTTGTGGTAGAACATGCCCTTACATGTATATAATCTGTTAAATTGCTATTGATATTGAGCATGAATGGGAAGTGTGTTTAAAAAAACTATAAAGGTAGACTAATTTGTAATGTTGATGCAAACGAAGAAAGTGTTCAAAATACTTTTATGAATTCTAAATGCATATCTGCTGATAGTGATATACATGTACATTGCACTCTTGTCTCATCTGCAAGTGCATTTGCACCAGAGTGCTTTTGTGAAATGTTTTTATCCCTTTCGGTGAATTTAAGGATTGAAGTTTTGTGCAACTTTTCACTATTTTATGTGTTCTGACATGGAGCTGGTTTGAATGTTACCCCGGCATGAGTTGCTTAGGAAAATTATTATTAAGCATTGTTATATCAAAAGTATTGTCTCAAAATAAGTGTTGTATGTTAAAAGAAAAGTACATTGAAGTCTGTGATATAGACTAGTAGAGGAGAAGAGGATATGGACAGAGATTGTTTATTTATGTGTAAATCATTGAAGCATGACAACATAATAAATACTTGCCTCATACATTCCTAGTGGAGGTCACAAAC